TGGCTGGCTGGCTGGCTGGCTCTGCTCTGATGGGCGGCGCTGCGCTGCGACTCCTGATTGACACGCAGTGGTGCCCACCTAAGCCACTCGATTTCGTTGCTTGCCCTGCCCTGGCTCGCCTCCCTCGCTTCGGCCTCTCCTTCACCTTACACAACCACCACCACCATCACACCCCTCGCGATACTCGGCTCCTATCCTGCTCTGCTCAAGCTTCACGCACAGCACACAGACGCCTCCCCGTCGCCGAGGTGCGCACCATGTCCGCAGCCATGCAGACTCCCGAGGACGTCGCCAGCCTCTCCCAGCTGCACAACATCTCCCCGGACACCATCTTCTCCGTCCTCCGCGATCGCTTCTACTCTGGCCTCCCCTACACCGCCCTCTCCGACTCCATCCTCGTCTCGGTCAACCCCTACGCTTCCTCCGGAAACCGCAACAGCGACGACTCGCTCCGCCAGTACACAAGAGACTACCGCGAAACCAACAAGCAGCTCCGCGGCGCCCCCTTGCCGCCCCACATCTTTGCCCACGCCTGCAATGCCTACTTTTACATGCGCCGCACCGGCCAGGACCAGAGCTTGCTCATCGCCGGCGACACCTCCAGCGGCAAGAGCGAGGTGCGCAGGCTCGCCATCCGCGCCCTCATCGACCTCAGCGTAGCCGCCCCAGGCAAGAAGGGCGCAAAGCTCGCCGTCCAGATCCCCTCGGCAGAGTACATCCTCGAGGCGCTCGGCAACTCGCGCACCCTCGAAAACGCAAACGCCTCCCGCTTTGGCAAGTACACCGAACTCCAGTTCTCCGACTCGGGCAAGCTCGTCGGCGCAAAGACCCTCGACTACTACCTCGAGAAGAACCGCGTCGTCAGCGCCGCCTCCAGCGAGCGCAACTTCCACATCTTCCACTACATGGTCGCAGGCGCCTCCGACGACGAGAAGCACTACCTCGGCATCACAGACGCCGCCGACTTCCGCTACCTCGGCCAGGCCTCCCGCAGCCGCGACGCCGACGACGCCGCCAAGTTCAACCGCCTCAAGCTCGCCTTCAAGAACCTCGGCTTCTCCAAACGCCACGTCGCCTCCATCTGCCAGCTCCTCGCCGCCATCCTCCACCTCGGCAACATCGAGTTTCACTACGACCGCCAACGCACCCAGGACTCGGCCACGGTCCGTAACCCCGACGTGCTCGAAAAGGTCGCAGAGTACCTCGGCATCCCCGCCAGCTCCCTCCAAGAGGCGCTCACCTACAAGACCAAGATGATCCGCGGCGAGGTCTGCACCATCCTCCTCGACGCCGACGGCGCTTCCGACCACCGCGACGAC